AGAAAAACACATTCATCAAGTAAAATAAACATTAGGCATATAAACTAAATCATTCCTTGATTTTTCATTCATTTCCAGCAAACACTCACAAATATAACATCAAAACCTAAAGAAAGAAACCTCAAAAAAAAAAAAAAAACATGGCAGATTTTTAAAAGAAAAATAGATCTGGATTTGATGGGAGGGATCCCACAGACGGGATCAATCTCCATTTCCTTAAAAGAACCCTCTTTTTTTAAAATTACTTACAAAGATAGACTCAGAAACGCAGCTTCCAAAACAGTCACTCCAGATTTTTAGAAAAACCCCACAAAACCCTCATCTAAAGACTTATTTATACTCTTCAGAAAAAAAAAAGAAAAAGAAAAAAAAGACACCCTATTCTTCTGCCCAAAACCAAACCTAATTCTAGAACAAAATGTACCTAAACCTTACCCAATCCAATTCACATCTGCTGTAGAAGGCCCGATGGTGAGGGTTTTTGGGCTGATTTGCGAGAAAAGTGGCCTAGTCCTTTTACACACACAAGAACTGATTCCCGGTTGCACGTGGATCTCTAACCAGTTCAAGTACAATTGGTGAGTTAATGCTTTCCGACCGTCGCCGCCATTGCACGTAGGCATCACCACCATCCTCGATTAGCAGATCAGGCTTCACCCATATCGGTTGCATCTTTCACTTGCCTCCAGCTTTCTCCTATGACCATGGATCCGAGATCGAAGATGAGGAGAAAATAAGGAAAGAATTCGAATATGGTGAAACCAGAATGGAAGGAACCCATGACGAGCAGATCGGAGATCACCGACGATCTTGAGAAAAAGGGATGACTGTCGGCTGTTTTGGCAAGGATTGATGAGATGAAAAGAGAAGGGGAAGATAGCTGCTGGCTGGTTAATTATAGAAGAAGGGTCGAAGGCTGAGGATCTGCATGAATGTCCTTGTTGGCCCACTTTGTCCCCATAGCATTTCTACAATGGGATCAATCTTGCAATTTCAAGCTTTCATGAATGCATCATGTAACATAGATTTTTCTGTTATCCTACTATAGGAAAATTCTCCCCACCAAAACTCAGTCGTTATATGGTGTTTTGTTTTAATCTTGCCAATTTTCGCAGCAGACATTTTACTGAAACATTAATACTGAGTTCTGCATATACCCTTGAGACATTGATTTTGTAATTAGTGATGCAGTTTACATTATAAATTGAATTTGCAAATGAGGCCTCCTTCACATTTTTACTATATTGATACTTGTTTGTTGTTTCTTTTATCATGCTGGTGATTGAGAAATTTGCATTGTATTGGATATATTTCATTTTATCTTGCAATTATGTCATTACGGCCACAAAACATCACTTTAACTTTCCTAGCAGCGTTTTAAAGACATTTTGGCTTGTAACTTAAGTATCAGTTAATATAAAGCAAATATATAATAGAAGTATGGTGCATATAACTTGCTGTTGCTTTAAACAGAGGGTAAGAAATTCACCCTAGATTAATCAAGAATAGAGCAATCAACAAAAGTTTAATTACCTCAGTAAAATAGAGTTCGTATGGCATATATTCCTTTCTTCCGTCCTCAATCTGTATCTTCCCTATCCACCGTTGTCTCCAAAGGGCACTAGAGAGAAATAATATATGATCAGACGGACAAGAATGTATTGACATGATAGATGTACTAAAATAGTGATTCAGCCAGATATTAAGATCATAAAACGAATGTAACTGTTCAACCACCAGCCTAATTTAGATAAATAAATAAAATATGGTATGTAGGGATCGCACTGAGAAATATATAGATTTAACATACCTTTGAAAAATCAAGATCTTCGGGATCGCACCTTCTGCCCATTGATTCTGATCTCACGAGTGTGGCAAATGGTTGACCATTTGTCACTGCCTACTTGAGCATACCCCATTAACATGGGACAATTGTTTATGTTAAGATATGTTAATTTCGACAACCCAATTGGGATGGCCTGCAAGTTCGGACATGATTGTATGCCAAGTATAGAGAGATTCGGAGATGCAGATCCATCTTCCCACCATGTGTTGAGCTCTGGGCAATCCTGAAGATGCAACTCCTCAAGGCAATCAAACACAACCATGCCTTGTGCTTCTGTCCATTCTTCCAGATTTGTCATGTTGCTAAAAGTAAGTTTTCTCAAAGCTGGAAATGGTAGGATTGACTCTCCTTCACCTTGGCTGCTGCTTGCCCACCATGTATTGAGCTCAGGGCAATGCTGAATATGCAACTCCTCAAGGCAAGGAAACACGACCATGCCTTGTGCCCCTGTCCATTCCTCCAGCTGTGCCATGTTTATTAACTCAAGTTTTTTCAAAGCTGGAAATGGTATTATTGATTGTCCCCCGCCTTGGCTGCTGCTTGCCATGCTGCTACTTTGATGATAAGACATTCTGCCTATCCTACTCACATTAGGCATTGCCTTTATATTGAGAACTTCAAGCTTAGGTAAGAGTTCAAGGCATGAAATATCACCACATTCATTACAATCAATCAATTTCAAATTCAGAAGCTGTTCCAAATTCATCATCCATGAAGGGCAGCTGCCTCCCCTATACTTCTCAATGGTTAAGCTTTTCAAATTTGAGTGAGGTTGAAGACGTTCCAGAACAACCATATCTTCGTCACTGTTGGCTCTGTTTAAACTCCATACAAATTGCAACTTGATCAATTCTCCTTTATCTTCAAGTCTTGCTTCTCTAGCTTCTGATTGAGGTACTAGCTCAAGCTTGCAAATTTTCAGTTCTCTAAGTTGGTTCAAAGATTTAAGCTCTTCAATTCTCCGACCATTTTCTCTGCCCACAACAAATAGCGGTAAAGTCTGAA